GTTGGGGGACACAGCTCTGAGGTGAGTTTGTTGAGGCTATCAAAGCCAAAGGCTCCGGTCGACCACGATTATCTGAAGTTCAGCAATATCCCCGGGCAGTGTTCATAATCAAGCAGCGTGAATGAGAGAGACCTTTTCTCCTGCAGACTCCTGGGGCCTGTCTGTAATATGGGTCATTTGTACTAAAGGTTTCCCATTACAAGTTTGTTATATTCTGAATACTGTGCCAGATTAACTTTCTGAGATTCTTTTCTTCTGCACACGTCTTTACTCCTATAAGCTGGGCAGCAGCTCACTGCTATGTTCTGGCCACCAGCAACTCTAAAAAAACAGCTGTTCTCTTCCCTCCCTGCAAGCAGCTTGTATGCTGTGTGTTAGCAACATGAAAGGCTGAAGCCATGCTAGCACCCCTCACAGGCTGCATTGTTCATTACACCCCATATTATGAAAGAGCTTAAACTGAACCAATGCAGCGTGACCATAGATTGTCCCAAGTTATAGAATTCACAACGTTCCCGTCACCATGAATTACAGTTTCTTCCATTTCTTTTTAGTCACCAACTGCAGCAGAATATACCTTTTCATGGACAAAGAAATTTGAATTCCTCTTGACTGCACAACAGGAAAAACTGCATTGAATCAATGAAAGACCTGTTGTCTGCTGTGATGTCAGCCATTGTCATATACACAGCTAAAATCACGTGTTTCATTCTGCCAGCTCCTAGAGGGTTCGTGACCTCAAATGATAATATACCTTCAAGATATAATATCTTCCTGTAACAATATGTTTTTGATGTTTTACCATCTCTCAGGTCTTTCAGCACATCAGGAGTTGGTGATGTGTCAGATTTTGCTTGGAGATGTTGCTAGTGAACTGGGGTCTGACTGGGTAGTGGCTTCACTGTATCTTCATTGGAAACATACTGTTATGGGGTAGTGTATTTGGTGGACCCAAACGCACGCACACACAGCAGGTTTACTCCAGCCAAGACTTTATTTTAATGTGCAAGAGGAGCCAAAGAATGAACAAACAAAAAACAAGCAAATTAAAGTCACTCCTCTTTCTCCACCGGAGTCGGGAGGGGAGCTCAACCGAGGCCGGGGCAGATAGCCTCCGGAGTCGGGAGGGAAACTCGACCGCACTCAATACTGGAGGAACCGGACGGTGCGACTGTGTGGAGACCCGAGGTCTGACACAGCAAACAGAAGGCACAGGTGATCTTCCAGGGATCGACGCTGAGCGGCAAAGGAGCAGAAAATAAACAGATAATGATCTTCACTGAATCCGTTTCGGTTTCAGACTTACGTGACCAGACTGGTAACCGGACAGACTGACGCCGCGCCGGGGAAACGCCGAGGTATTTAAGCCAGCTGGGGATGATCAGCTGGAATTCCCCACAGCTGAGCCTAAGGAGTGGGGTGTGGGGTCTGGTTGTATAGAAGTCTATGAGAAAATGACTCTACTTCTCTCTTGATTTATTACCTCAGTAAACATTGTAAACATGAGTTTATGGTCTCAATCTCTAGTTTCAAGTCTTCTTCTATACAGCATGATGTTCGTTTAGTAAATGATGGTCCATTTAGAGTCAAACAGACCATAAAGCAGGGGATGCTTTAGGGGCGGGGCTACCTTCTGGTTGACAGATTGCTACCACGGCGTTGTCTGGTCTGGGTGTTGTCCTGTTTTCATCTTTGTATTTTCACTTCATGAAAGTTAATTGTCACAGTTTGGTTCCCTAAAATGTCTTAAAACCTAACACAGTCACAAGTAGCTTTGATAAGAGTCTGAATTTTGCGCCCTTTGCCCCTTTCTTTAACCACTGAGCAAAGCTGGTACACACAGTCACGCCTGCTTAAAACAACCACAGTCATCTACTGGACACTGAGCTGTTCCACTGGAGCATTAAGGGAATCAATACCTTGCTTGAGGGCATATGAGTGGTGGGTTTGAGCCAATCACTCTCTAATCTTTCTATTCCACCTAGATTCATCAGACAGGATCAAACCGGCAACCCTCAGGTCTAAAAAATGCTTTTCTAATATCACTCCCCCTGCTTCCTGTCTCGCTCTACTTTGAACCACTAATAGAGGTGGAAATGTGCTTTCTTTTGGATCTACTAAAACCTTTGAAATAATTGAGCTAAATATTTTCTATTAGAGAGTTTTCACCATATAATGTAAAGAAACATGAAGGCTCAACTAATCACAATGTTTTAAAGACTCAGTCCCTCTTGGATTCTTGAGCTTCGTTTATCTCTGTTCACCCGAGCTGCTTTTCAATGGTTTAAAATCTCACAGTTCACATCGTTCCCTTTTTGACAGAAAGCCTTTTCTTTGAGACACTGCCAGTGTCTTAATGTTTACACACTGTAGCTTAGATGCCAAAGATGGCATTCTGGTTCCATCTATAGTTCAATATCTGTTAGTGCATACATGTTCAGCACCATGGAGAGCTCTGTGTGGAGTATGGTGAGTTCAATTCAACATTCTTTCCTCTAAGGCAGGGGTATTCAGTTAAAGTTCCAAAAGGTCCAGATTGAGCAAATCTCCTTGTGCATAGGTCCGGAACATTAAAATAATATCTAACTTGTGCTGTGTAGTGCCATATATATATATATATATATATATATATATATTCAAGAAGCCTAGTAGTAGTAACGTCTCTGTGTAGTCAACTGTCAAATCAAATAAATAAAGTACAATTTTATTTTAACAATTATTATTCTCAGTTTTCAAATTTTACTGGATAGATTATAAATAATACATAGAAATACATGAATAAATGTTCTTCTCATTTCAAGTAAAATAATGGCTGGATTAAAGAATAACTGACATAACAAAGCTTTTCAAAAAAGTGCATCTTTAAAATAAAGTACTTAATTTTAGAAAAATTATATTATTGATATTGGGCTCTTAGGTTTATTTTCTGTCTTCATTTCAGATGTGAGTGGGTACGTTAGCTCAAAAGAGTTGTTCTTTGTCTCGTAGTGGTGCTTCACTGGTTTTTAACTACCCGTGGGAAGAATTTACCAATAAGAGTCTGTTCATTATTGTTTAAAGACTCTGGGCTCTCTGGTCTCTCTGACGGACAAACGGACAAAGGAAAAGACCGCTTTCAATACGTCATCAATGTGAGACATATCACAGTAAATATAAATGATACAATAACGACAAGTTACACTCATTTTCTGCCAAGCGTAAGATTATATAACAGAGTAAACTTTCAAATATAAGCACTCTTCAGCAAGGTTATTGACTGCTCCCTTTATGAGCGTACATGAGGTTGTGAATGTGTGTGTGTGTGTGTGTGTGTGTGTGTGTGTAAGTGTCATGATGAATAGGCCAAAGGCATCTGTGTCCGCTATTAAGATGATCTCATTTACTCATCTTAACCATTGGTGATTATAAAAGCATATCTGTTCACACATTAATACATGAATGAAGATCACTGAAACATTATCATCATTAAATGAACACATGATCAGTAAGAATACAAACCAAAGAATGAAAAGTTAAATCATGACACATTCTGAATTATAATATATCTTCATTGAATAAACAGCTGAATTGGTTCTTGATCAGTAATTTGGTTCAAACTTCTTTTGTCTCTTTTGATTTGTTTCTATGAGTTTCATCAAACTAGCACACAGTCAGTGATGAATGAAGTCAAAGTGAACAATACGACGTGAAGAACGAAGCTGCATTTAACTAATCCTTCATTTGATACAGTGTTCTGATGGATTTGGACATTTCTGCTTTGACATGATGTTTATGTGCTTTATTATCTAGAATCATCCAAAACTTTGATTTCTTTTGATTTCAGCATCACTTCTCAAAGTTTGTTCATTTGTTACACGATGATCAAAGAGGATGAATTTAGTTTGTTCAAATCAAAACAACTCTTTACAACTTGTGATTCTTTTTCCACAGATGCTGAATTTGATCCAGAAAGACTCTTGTTTGACATTCGGAGGTTTTTCTGAACACAAACAAATGTTTCAAGACAACAAAGTTCAGTTTTATACACAAAGTAAAAGATGTTTCACAGCTTCTCTCAGACAACACATCATTTCAGGTCATTACATGGACCTTGCTCAGCTCTTTCAGACATCCATCTGCAACACCACAAGTCCCAGAGAGCTCTCAACCCCCCAGAGTCCAGACCAGCTCAGGTACCCCTCACCTGCTCCAACTGCATCTACAACCACTGAGAGATCAGGATATTATATATTATTGTTAGGATATTATATATTATTATTAGATATTATTGTAATGTTCCGGACCTTTGCCCGAGGAGATTTTCTCAATCTGGACCTTTTGGAATTTTAATTGAATACCCCTGCCCTAGAACTTTGGTCCAGTCCTAAATAAACCTCTTTGGGCTCTGACACACCATGTCCACAATCAGCTGTTGGTTCTTCACTGAGCGTCTGTGGCCGACTGTCACCTGTAGTTTCAACAAGTCGACTCTTATCAGCCAGGGAACTGGCTCTCAGTGCAAAACAAACCAAAACCAGGTAAAGCTGAACTCCTTTAAAACAGGAAAAAAATCCTATTGTGATGATTCATCAAGACGCTTTAAACAGATTGTTTCTTTGTGTTTATCTTTTCACAATAATGTCTGGACTAAAGGGCAACACACACAATCATCAAAACATCCAACTGTTGTTTGATATGAGCCCACAAACCTGCAGCGTGACGACGTTGACTCATGTGAACCCACCATGATGCCCGTCAACGTGTCAGGATACACCACTGTCCTATTTTCTAATGTTGAAACAAGACGACGCTTCAGAAAAACAACAGTTTCATCACCTTCCCTCCCTGTTGTGGCTCATCCTGGCTACTGTTCCCTGACTACTTCTGTCTGTATTGATGGTCTGATGTGGGACACAAACAGTTTGATGAGTCTCTGGTAGTTTGGTCAGCTTGGTGTGTCAGGGTCATATTAACCAGGCTGACAGTGTGACAGAGAAAAGTCTCCAGCTCTACCTCCTCTATCAGACTGATTGTCTGTGGCTGCAGCAGGCCTCTTCATACCTGAGGGTCTCCAGTCTGCAGTGTGGATCCTTCAGTCCATCAGACAGCAGCTTCACTCCTGAGTCTCCTGGATGATTGTAGCTCTGGTCCAGCACTCTCAGATGGGAGGGGTTGGATCTCAGAGCTGAGGCCAGAGAAGCACAGCCTTCCTCTTTGATCAGACAGCCTGACAGACTGCAAAAACATAAAACAACACACATGTCACATAATCTGACTCAATCTGTTTGTGTGTAAACTTTTTCTTAGTCCAAGAAAAGTAATTCACAGGGTCACCTGAGAGTCTCCACTGTACAACGTGGACTCTCTAGTCCAGCAGACAGCAGCTTCACTCCTGAATCCTGCAGGTCGTTGTTACTCAGGTCCATCTCTCTCAGACTAGAGGACTGGGAGCTGAGAACTGAGGACAGAGCTTCACAGCTTCTCTCTGAGAGGTTACAGCCACTCAGTCTGAAGAGACAATGATGAAGAAAAAATAAACAATAAGTAGAAAAGATAGCAGCGTATTTAAGGTATGAAATATGAATCTAACTCTCTCTGTACTTACAGAGCTTTGTTGGAGGCTTTGACCACTGGCAGCAGCCTCAGAAGAGCCTCCTCTGAAGCAGAGTATTTCTTCAGGTCCAACACGTCCAGATCTTTTTCTGATGACAGTAAGATGAAGACCAGAGCTGACCACTGAGCAGGGGACAGTTCATCTGTGGAGAGACGTCCTGAACTCAGGGACTGTTGGATCGCCTCCACTAGAGAACCATCATTCAGTTCATTCAGACAGTGGAACAGATTGATGATTTTCTCTGGGGACACATTCTCACTGATCTTCTTCTTGGTGTACTGGACTGTTTCCTGATTGGTCTGTGAGCTACTTCCTGTCTGTGTCAGCAGACCTCTTAGGAGAGTCTGATTGGTCTGCAGTGAAAGACCCAGGAGGAAGCGGAGGAACAAGTCCAGGTGTCAATTTGGACTCTGTAAGGCCTTGCCCACAGCACTCTGGTAGAGATGTGTTTGTTCAGGTTTGTCTCTAGAGACTTCAGACCAACGGGAGGTTATTTGTTCTTCTGACAGCAGATTGACTCCAGAGTTGATGAAGGTCAGATGGACATGAAGAGCAGCCAGAAGCTACTGAACACTCAGATGGACGAAGCAGAAGACCTTGTCCTGGTACAGTCCTCTCTCCTCTCTAAAGATCTGTGTGAACACTCCTGAGTACACTAAGGCTGTTCTGATATCGATGCCACACTCTGTCAGGTTGGATTCATAGAAGATCAGGTTGCCTTTCTGCAGCTGATCGAAAGCCAGTTTTCCCAGAGACTCAGTCATCTTCCTGCTCTCTGGACTCCAGTGTCGATCTGTCTCAGCTCCTCCATCATACTTGACGTTCTTCACTTTGGACTGAACCACCAGGAAGTGGATGTACATCTCAGCCAGGGTCTTGGGCAGCTCTCCTCCCTCTCTGGTCCTCAACACATCCTCCAGAACTGTAGCAGTGATCCAACAGAAGACTGGGATGTGGCACATGATGTGGAGGCTTCGTGAGGTCTTGATGTGGGAGATGATCCTGCTGGCCTGCTCCTCATCTCTGAGTCTCTTCCTGAACCCTCTGCCCTCTGTCACCATGCCAACACACTCTTGAGGGATCTGATTGGCTGCTGCAGGTCGTGTGGTTATCCAGAGGCGAGCAGAGGGAAACAGTTTCCTCCCGAAAAGGTTTGTCAGCAGCACATCCACTGAGGTGGACTCTGTAACATCAGTCAGGATCTCATTGTTGTGGAAGTCCAGAGGAAGTCGACACTCATCCAGACCGTCAAAGATGAACAGAACCAGGAACTCTTCAAACCTGCAGATTCCTGCTTCTTTGGTTTCACCGAAGAAGTGATGAACAAGTTCCACCAAGCTGTGCTGTTTCTCTTTCAGCACATTCAGCTCTCTGAAAGTGAATGGAAATGTGAACTGTATGTCCTGGTGGTCTTTGTCTTCAGCCCAGTCCAGAGTGAACTTCTGTGTTAAAACTGTTTTCCCAATGCCAACCACTCCCTTTGTCATCACTGTTCTGATTGGTTCCTCTCTTCCAGGTGAGGCTTTAAAGAGGTCTTCTTGTCTGATGGTTGTTTCTGGTCTGTGTGGTTTCCTGGATGCTGTTTCAATGTGTCTGACCTCATGTTCAGCATTGACCACTGCAGTCCCTCCCTCTGTGATGTAGAGCTCTGTGTAGATCTGATTCAGAAGGGTTGGGTTTCCTGCTTTGGCGATCCCCTCAAACACACACTGGAACTTCTTCTTCAGGTTACATTTGAGTTCACGTTGACAAACTGCAGCAGGAAGTTCTGAAAGACTTCCTGAATAAAAACAAAGAACATCAATGAATAAATTATTAGACAAATATGTCAACATATCTGAATACATGTTGGTCCATCTCTTGAGACTTCAGTAAACGTCCCATTTATCCAGCATGTTGAATCTTTAGAGAAATCCTCTTACTGCTCTGCAGACAGTCACCCAGCTCCTCCTGCTTCATTCTCCTCAGGAAGTGCAGTGTGATCTTCACAAATGCCTCTCTGCTGCTCCTCCTCTGCTCTTCATCCTCACCATCCAACACCTCCTCATCCTCCCTCTGACTCTCTAAGCATTCTGGGTAATCTGAACTCACCACCTTCTGGATCTTCTTCACAAAAGTGACGATGTTCTCCTCCAGCAGCTGGAACAGAATATTCTATGAATGACACAAACTAAAACCATGGAACCAAACATCAGATCTATGTTGGACAGACTGACAATCCACTGGTCTACAAAGTGCAGCATGGAGATGATTGTGAACACAATAGATGTAAAAGTAGTTGTACATGTACAGACCATAAATATGGAGTCCAGGTGTGTTTGATATTGCTGGGCAGACTCACCTCTGGGAACCTCTGAGCTCTCCTGGTCCTCTCTGTGGAGGATTCATGAAGAATCAGCTCACATTGTGTTTGTCCCATTAACACAAATACAACAATTAGTTAAAGATGTTGTGTTCTGTCATGATTCATCACAATGAAAACCAGATGCTAAACAGATTCTTCTCTCTGCTTTGATATAGTGACAGTCGTGACAAGTCGCCACCATTGAAAGCCTGAGAAGAAGGTGGACCAACTACCACTATGACCAAAAGATGTGAGCGTTTCAGCCGTCTTTTTAGCTGCTGCCACTGGACTGGGTTTTATTAGTCACTTTGATTCTTTCTGGACCAAGTGGGACCTTTTTAAATACAACGGGCTGCATCCTAATAGGAAGGGAACAGAAAAACAGACCCATCATTTTATTGATTTCATTGCTTTTAGCTTTAACAGGTGGTTTCAGCAGCAAAACCCTGTCCAGCATCCTGGCCCTCTGTGGAAACAGCTCAGTTCTATCTACTTCATGTTGGATCCTTTGCCAAGAAGTCTTTGACTTGCCAGGATTTTATCACGACAATGTTGACCTTTTTATGGTCACAGGATCTTGGACTAGCTCTGAGGAATGCACACCTCTTATTGAGTCACGCAGTCATTCACAGAAATGTTCTCAGTCGTTCCTCTCTCTGGATCGGCTGCTTCTCCTCCTTTGAATATCTTAGTTGTATTTACAGACCCACTAATCTTACTGTTGATCTTTCACTATGGAACAATATGACAGAGTTCTTATTCTTGGTGATTTTCATATCCATGTTTGCTGCTCCTCTTCCTCGTTTACCTCTGACTTTAGCAAACTCTTAGATTCTTTTAATTTGAGACAATTTGTGAATCAACCGAGGCATGACAGAGGACTCACCTTAGACCTTGTGCTCTGGGTTGGTTTCTGTGTGGATTATGTGAATCTAAGTGATCACAGGCATTGCTTTTCCAGGTTCCACTCCTCTCTCCTGATCACAAACCCCCACAATGCTTCACTCCCACCCCCAAAACTTCTGCTTTCACTGAATCACGCACAACTTTTAGTACCAATGAACAACTTGGCATCTCCACAGAGGAGCTCCTTGGTACGTCTCACAGTTCCTGCACAAACATTTTAGATTCCAGAGCTCCATTCAGATGTAAGTAGTTGAATCCTTCTTCTCTCTCATGGTTTAATGAAGATGTGAGGAACTTAAAGAGACAATGCAGGAAGGCAGAACCAAAGTGGAAACAGGATAAACTCAGTGGGTCCGTTGCATATCTAAAACATCTAATGTCGACCGATCAGCAAATGATTAAAGAAGCAAAGAACTCATATTTCTACAATCTGATCACTTAGCAGAGTCACAATCCTCTTTCAAACCATAAACTCTGCTCTTAGTCAACCAGTTGATTCAACACCAGAGAGATGTGAGGAGTTTATAAATTATTTCAAAATAAAATCCTGGAGATTCTGCAGCATTTTAATACTGACCTTGTTGAGCCTGATGTTGACTCCTGTTTATCTTCACCATTAACCCACTTTAGTGAAATGAAATCTCTCTGTCAACCTTTGAACCACTGTTACACTTTAAAACCATCCACTTGCCTCTGAGACTGAATTCACTTCATGTTTAAAAGCTGTATTTAGACAGTTGGTCCGGATGTTTTAGTCGTTATTAACTGCTCCATGTCAACTGGTATCTCCTCTCTAATTCTAAACATGCTGCTGTTTACCACTTTTTAAAGAAGCCCCATTTACATCCCTCAGGTTTAAGTCTTTTTTGACTTATCTGTAAGCTGTCGTTTTTATCAAAGATTTTAGAAAAGACTGTTTCCACTCCATTGATTCCTTTCATGAATAACAATGAAATCTTTGAGAATCTTCAGTCTGGCTTTCACTCTCTTCACATCACTAAAACTTCTCAGGTCAAGGTCACATAAGACCTTCTGCCTGTACTCATTTGAATTATTCTTGACCTCAGCTCAGCCTTTGACACAGTGGACCAGAATGTCTTAATCCGTCGTCTAAAGAAACTCTGTTGGCATCAGTGATGTGGAGCTGGATTGGTTGATGTCTTATCTGTTGAACTGGTCCTTTTCTGTAATGCTTGGAGAGGCCTCCTCTCTTCTGTGGGGTCCCTCAGGGGTCTATATTGGGTCCCCTCCTGTTTACCATGTACATGTTACCACTAGGACTCATCATATGTCGACACAATACAGAGTTTCATTGCTACGCAGATGACACTCAGTTTTACATCCCATTAAGCCTGGCTCCAGCACTATTTCATGTACCATGTCCTGTCTTGTAGTTATAATGACCCCTGCTGGCCCGTTTCTGCATTAATGATCTCTCCTCCAGTCTGGGAGCTTTATCTAATAACGTTCAGCATGAAGCCTTCAACCTGGGTGTTCTTTTTGACTCTGACTTGACTTTTGATGCTCAGGTGACCAAAGTTGGGCAGATCTGCTTTGCTCAATTGAGACAGCGAAGCAGAATCAGGTCATTCCTTTGACCTTTGACCTGGAGAGAGTCATTCATGCTTTCATCTACTCCAGACTCGTCTACTGCGATGCACTTTAATCTGGTATCATCAGGAGAAACATTCAAAGACTAGAGAAGAGAAGTGAGCACATCACACCAATCCTTCTGCCCTTCACTTTTTACCTGTGAGTTCTGGAATTGATTTGAAGATTTTACAGCTTGTCTTTAAAGCCTTGAACGACGTGGCTCCTTCTTTTATCTGATCTGATGATTCCTTATGAGCTGCTGCCTGAGATCTTCAGGCAGAGCCTTTGTGATAATCTTTCCTGTGCTCGTACTTTTCTACTGTGACTTAGCTTGTGTGCCTTCCTCACTAACAACACCATATATGTGACTTAGTGTGTGCTTCAATGTATAACAGGACCGTATGTGGGATGTCTGCTCTGCTTCCATGAGAGGAAGTAACTGAATGGGGGTGCAGACAGTTAACCACAGAATGTTTGGGTTAGGAACAGAAACAGATGTGTTAGTGAGGACTTATCCTACCCCCCACCCTTGTGCACTGGTCCTTTATAAGATGTAGAAACCTGCACACGGGGCTCTTCATCCCTCAGACTGCACACAGGCGCTCAGTGGGATGATTGAACCTTATCTGCACAGAGAATAAATACTCCAAAAACAAACTTTCTTTCCTCACATTTCCTTATTTCAGTATTATAACACTCACTCGTACTATTATATAGTTTCTACACCACACCGTACTAACGGGCCTTTGCTATACGGGCCCCACAGCTGTGTAACTCTCTTCCTGGTAATCTCAGGCCGGAAAATTCAGTTTCCTCTTTAAATCTCTTCTGAAGACTTAATAAGTGTTTGCAAACACTTGTTCTGTAACTGTAACCTTAATACATGGTCAAACGGAGATATTACAAATGGACTAATGTCTTAATTCAAGCCATGGTTGCTGAATGTTTGTCCATCGTTCTCTCCTCAGCTCCTGGCTCCCTGTAACAAAACAACAACAGAATCAGCAAAATACTCAAATTCAGTGTATTCGTGTAATTAATCTCAAAGTTTGAAACGTTACCGGACTTAAAGCACTATTTCAGGTTCACAACCTGTCTACCTGAGCTCACGTTGGTCCGTTTATGTACATGATATCAAGTATAAATCATCTGTAAAATCATCACAATCTCAGTAAGATATTATTCAACCTCTGAGGTTTGAAAGTGAAGTTATTAAAAGTTACTTTAAGGCTTAACTACGGTCGGATGCAGGCAGCCGAGCTGCTGCTAATAGCGCAGCGGCTAACGTTAGTTAGCTTGTAAGCTATGAACGTCACGTAACTTAACGGATCACTTTAGCACACATGTGATGTTGTAAGATGTCTTATTTTGCTTTAACATTAGTGTAGGAGCCAGGTGTGGCCTGTGTCGTTTTGTATGCCCTTTTTTGTCACTTCCGGTGCTCTTCCGGTGATTGAGTCACGTGGTGCTGGGGATAGCCACAATGGGGTTATCAGCCGTCAGTTGAGTTAGACTAGGAAAGGATTGGAAGGAGAGGGGGTGAGAGAGGGAGCCTTATTTTTTGTTGACCGTTATTTCACGTTATTTTTCACGTTATTCACATTAATACTGTCCTTTTTTGAGTTATAATTGTAGGTTATCTGGAATCAACGTTTATTTGTTGCCCACAAAATAAACACTCCAAACTCATCCACTGGATTCCAGAAATCATTTAACGTTACAGCCAACGCGTCCGCAAGTTTAAATCTCCCCCACTTAGCCTCTCGGTGACTAAAGGAAAATTGCCGATAGTCATCTACAATTAGTATCGGTGACATTCGAGTGAGTTGAAACCCAATACTTATAAAGTGAATCCTGCTGCTTCTCCAGCTCTCGCATCAATCGCCGCCATGTTGGTTCAAATAAAATCTTCACCGGCACGCAATGCATCTTGGGATATGGTGGGCCGCGAAGGATCCATCAGATGTGTCCTCCGAATCTGGGGTCTGAAGGCCGCATTCGTCGGCTGCATTCGAAGGAGTCTTCAACAAACATGCAAAATGGGACAGCCTAGTCGCAGCGCTGTGACGCAACCGGTCTACGAATGCAGCCTCCGAAGGATGCAGACCCTGAATTGGGAGATAGCTATAGACCCGTCACTCTTCATGGACACACAGCTGGGATCAGGTTCAGGTCCAGGTTCAGGTTTACATTTTCGTTTAGGTCCAGGTCCAGGTTTACTTTTACGTTTGCGTTTAGGTCCAGGTCCAGGTTGTTCCAGCTTCCTCCTGATAGAAACACCAGACACATTCAGTGATGTAATAAACCTACTGTACTCAGTGTATTTGTATTCTGGTAGTTTTAGGAGACGTTTAGAATGAAATCAATGTTTCATGTAGAAATGTTTCAATGTTGAAGCTGTATTCAGTGCAGCAAAGATAGGAATTGATGCAGTGAGGTGACCATGATGGTTGAAGAGTAATGCTGTCCAATCAGGATGAAGAGAGGAACCATGTGGTGTAAAAGAGTTTTACCTGAGTGACCTTCTGACTTCATCATCATCATCATCATCATCATCATCACCACCACCACCACCACCACCATCATCATCATCACCACCATCATCATCGTCATCATCATCATCATCAGTTTGAAATCCTCACCTTTGATCAACAGAGTGGTGTCCATCTTTAAAGGATATAAAACGACCGATAGACCGGTCACTCTTCATGGACACACAGCTGGGTCCAGGTTCAGATTCAGGTTCAGGTCCAGGTTTAGGTCCAGGTTGTTCCAGCTTCCTCCTGATAGAAACACCAGATACATTCAGTGATGTAATAAACCTACTGTAGTCAGTATATTTGTATTCTGAGTTTTAGGAGACATTTAGTATGAAATTAATGTTTCATGTAGAAATGTTTCAATGTTGATGTTGAAGCTGTATTCAGTACAGCAAAGACAGGAAGTGATGCAGTGAGGTGACCATGATGGTTGAAGAGTAATGCTGTCCAATCAGGCTGAAGAGAGGAACCATGTGGTGTAAAAGAGTTTTACCTGAGTGACCTTCTGACTTCATCATCATCATCATCATCATCATCATCATCATCATTACCACCATCATCATCGTCGTCATCATCATCGTCATCATCATCATCAGTTTGAAATCCTCACCTTTGATCAACAGAGTGGTGTCCATCTTTAAAGGATATAAAACGACCGGTCACTCTTCATGGACACACAGCTGGGTCCAGGTTCAGATTCAGGTCTAGGTTCAGGTCCAGGTCCAGGTTCAGGTCCAGGACAGTGTGGTCCCTGATGGATCCTGGTCACATGTGTAGAAACAGAGTCAGTGAATGAAAGACTTTGAGTCATGGACAGGTAGAGATGGTCATCTCACCTCTGAGCTTTGGTGTGGCTGGTTTTAGAGGGAGGGACTCCCTCCTCTCTGTCCTCACACTGATTCATAGCAGAGTCCACACCTTCACACAAACACATCAACATTATTTCTCTTCATCATGACAAACACACACAGCTCATTCACCTCAATACTAAAGACACTAAAGACAGTTTCCATGTTGTTGTCACTTTGAGCTGCAGAGTCCTCTCTAAGAAATGACGTTCACAATGCTCTTTAGTCTATTGGCTTGTTTGAAGTCTAGAGGAAGACTCTTCATGTGGCTTTTTATTGGCCTTTCTTTGGGGATGACATCACTTTTCACTTATATTTGACTGACTTTGAAAAGCTCTTCAACGTTTGAAATGTTCCTCTGTTTCCACGTCTACTACATCCAGTCAGAGCATGAAGCAGCTAGTCCAATAATCCAAAATCAGAATCAGAATCAGCTTTATTGGCCATGTATGTGTACACATACATACAATGTACAAACACAAATTTACAATAAACAAGAAAAAATATATATAAAGAATAAAAAAGGGCAGCAAAAAAGTAGAACGGATGTAGGTATAAACATTTAACAGCTATATACAATATAAGTATAAATATATATTCAAAAGAAAAAGTGTATATATATATATATATATATATATATATATATATATATATATATATATATATATATATACATACATGGGAACATAAACCTATAGACAATGGCATGAATTGAGATGATAGTGCAAGTGGTGGTAATAGCGCAGTATAACTTATTAATTGTTCATCAGAGTGACGGCCAGTGGAAAGAAGCTGTTCCTGTGTCTGTTGGTTTTGGCGTACAGAGCTCTGTAGCGCCTACCAGAGGGGAGGAGTTGGAACAGCTTGTGTCCAGGGTGTGAAGGGTCTGCAGTGATCTTTCCAGCCCGTTTCCTGACTCTGGAGGTGAACAAGTCCAGGATGGGGGGCAGGCTGAAACCAATGATCCTCTCTGCAGACCTGACAATCCATTGTAGTCTGTTCCTGTCCTGTTTGGTGGCTGATCCAAACCACACAGTGATAGAACAGCAGAGAACAGACTGGATGATGGTGGAGTAGAACAGGATCACCAGCTCCTGAGACAGGTTGAACTTCCTGAGCTGGAGCAGGAAGTACAACCTCTGCTGGGCCTTTTTCCTGATGGTGTTGATGTTGGGGGCCCACTTCAGGTCCTGGGAGATTGTGGATCCCAGAAACTTGAAGGTCTCCACAGCGAACACAGTGTTGTAAAGTATGGTGGGGGGGGGGGGGGGGGGGGGGGGGGGGGGGGGG